GATGCTTTTGATTTTTCAAAAGGTCCATTTGAAGTCAATCCATGTCAGTTTTTAAGCTTGAAACTATCTTTTCTTGACATATATACTGAATCCTAAAAACTGAAGGCATTGCAGACAGAGCCCTTTTAAGAAATCAAATAGCTTCTGGGGCAATTAATATTACTTTCCAATTTAGCAAATCTCATTTTCCTTTCCCATATCTAAAAATCTTTCCCTCTTCTAGAAAATACTGCCCTTCTCTTCTATGGTGTACCTTTTTTGTTTTTTGTTTTTTGTTTTTTTTCAGGAGGGAGAAAAATCATTGCTTTCTTTAGAAATCAAATTTCTTTTTCTTTCTGGTTTTCTTATCAGATACACAGCCACATAAATAAGTGGAAACATTGTACATTTGTAAATTGTCAGTACAAACCTAGGAAGAACTTCTCTACCTTCTGAATATTAATATGAAGGTACATAATATTACATAGGTAGGCAGATTTAAAGGTATATAAACTGGAGTGCGCAGGAAAGAATAACCTCTATGGTATAAGGGAGAGAGAGGAGTTTGGAATTTGCTTTATACGTGCTTTGTGGATTGGCACATGACGTAAATCTATGATTCTCAGTTTTGGTTCCTGGGATCTTTTACATTCTTAAAAATTGAGGACTTTATGGAGCTTTTGCTTATATAGGTGATATGGTTTGGCTCTGTGTCGTGTCTCCACCCAAATATCATCTTGAATTGTACTCCCATAATTCCAAGGTGTTGTGGGAGGGACCCGGGGGAGATAGTTGAATCATGAGGATAGTTTCCCTCATACTTTTCTCATGGTAGTGAATAAGTCTCATGAGAGCTGATGGTTTTAACAGGGGCTTCTGCTTTTGTGTCTTCCTCATTCTCTCTTTGCCTGCTGCCATCCACGTAAGATGTGACTTGCTCCTCCTTGCCTTCCGCCCTGATTGTGAGGCTTCCCTAGCCACGTGGAACTGTGAGTTCTCTATTAAACTTCCTTCTTTTGTAAATTGCCCAGTCTCAGGTATCTCTTTATCAGCAGCATGAAAACAGACTAATACAGTAGGTTACATACATTCAAATTTCCAGAATAAAAATTTTAAATATACTATTTACTATAATGGGGTACTGATCTACATAATACCCTAGAGCCAGATGCTGTGGCTTGCATCTGTAATCACAGCTACCTGGGAGGCTGAAGCAGGAGGATATCTTGAGGTGAGGAGTTTGAGACCAGCTTGGGCAACACAGAGAGACCCTGTCTCTCTTAAAAAAAAAAAAGTATATTTGTGTGTGTTACACACACACACAAACACACACACACAGCCTAGCGAAGCCAGTGCCATCTTTGTTGCAATGTAGGATGAGCCAAGGTGAAAATGAAGTTAACAAAAAAGAAAGCATAGCTCAAAGTGACATCCTGATGACATAGTTTCAGGCCCTGAATCTAGCCAACTCTGAAGCTATGCAAGTCCAGACTTGTCAGCTGCATGAGCCAATGAATTTCTTTTGGCTTCAACTAGGATCAGTTGCTTGTAACCAAGTATGTCATCAGACATCTGGGTTTCCAGTTGTGGACTTCAGGGAAACAGAGTAACTGAAACCAAGAAAAGCAAAACTGCAGATAAGGGAGGACTACTGTATACTTCATGCTACTGAATTATATACATTTAAACGGTTAAAACAGTAAATTTTATGTATGTGTATTTACCATTTAAAAAATGGTGAGGGTGAAGCTTTGGTTGCTTTAAATGTATTTTTTTCCCCAAAGAAAGATAGATTATGGTCAAGATGAACTTTAAACTAGCTGAATTAGGCATTGTATTTTTTCCCCTAGGATTGCTATAACTAATTCTGGTCTGAAAATAGTGAAAGGAGCTGGGCACATTCCTAAGCCCCGGGCTCAAAACAGACAAGCCCAGTACAAACCCATGCCATCCTCCCATCCCACCACATATCGCCATATATCTCTCAAACTTCCCCTCCATCCCACCACATATCGCTGATATCTCTCTCAAACCTCCTGACCCAGCATAAACACATCCTAGTATCCTCTCTATCCACCACACACGCTTACATCTTCTCAAACTTCCTGGAGCCCAGTACAAACACATCCCATCCTCCCATCCCACCACATATCGCTACATATCTCAAACTTCCTGAGCCCAGCACAAACACATCCCATCCTCCCATCCCACCACATATCGCTTACATATCTCTCAAAACTTCCTGGTTCAGTACAACACATCCCATCCTCCTGTCCCACCACATCGCCATATCTCAAACTTCCTGAGCCCAGCACAACACATCCCATCCTCTCATCCCACCACATATCGCCATATATCTCTCAAACTTCCTGAGCCCAGTACAAACACCACCTGGAAAGTCTCCGATAAGGAGACAGCCGTTCAAAGTTTTACTGAAAGCGCGGGAACCAAAAGAATTCCTTTGTTCCCCTGTAACTGTCGGGCTATAAAAAGCAAACACTTGCATTGTTCAGGGCCCTCTTGTACCCTGTGGAATGGAGGGACCAGGTTCGAACTTATAGTAAAGATCCTTGCCGCTTGGCTTTGACTCTGGACTCTGGTGGTATTCTTTGGGGAACAAATGGTCTGGGCATAACAATAGTTGAGTGCAATACAATAAGATATTCTGAGAGACAGAGAGACCACATTAACATAACTTTTATTACAGTAAATTGTTATAATTGTACTATTTTATTATCAGTTATTGCTGTCAATCTCTTACTGTGACTACTACATAAATTAAACTATCATAGGTATGCACATGTGGAAAAAACATAGAGGAGAGTCCGGACCCAGAAAAGCCCAATGAGATTTGGCCTTGCTTATATTGAAATTGTGATTAACCACAGAAAAAATAAGAGTTAACTGGTGGGCTAAGTGTAAATATACCAGTACTAGGAAAAAACTAACTTCAGGTCGGTCGTGGTGGCTCATGCCTATAATCCCAGCACTTTGGGAAGCCGAAGCAGGCGGATTACCTGAGGTCAGGAGCTCAAGACCAGCCTGGTCAGCATGGTGAAACCCTGTCTCTACTAAAAATACAAAAATTAGCAAGGCATGGTGGCACACGCCTGTAATCCCAGCTATTCAGGAGGCTGAGGCAGGAGAATTGCTTGAGCCCAGGAGACAGAGGTTGCAGTGAGTTGAGATGGTGCTACTGCACTCCAGCCTGGCTGACAGAGCAAGACTGTCTCAAAAATAAATAAATAAATAAAATAACTTCATTCCTATTGAAATATAAAGTTTCATTTCCATGATAATTGTAATGAAAGCCACGTTAACCTATTTTTTTATGTTGTCTTAGATGGTTAATGGAAACTCTTGTAGTTTTCATGATGAAAACCCTAAGAATGGAAAGAATAACTTCCTGGGCACTTCTAATTATTTACATACAGACTCCCACCCCAACCCACACCACACCCCATGCCCCATGTTTCCTGAGACATTTATCAATATTTGGAAAATGACACTCTCTCCTACCTTTCAGAAAATTTCCTTTGGCATAACATTTGATTCCAGGATGAATTCTGAAGAAATGTCACACTGTAAAAAGAGTAATGGTGTGTACATATTATAATATTCATTCAATAACCATCTGTAAAAGTTCACTCTAGACAGTGAAGCCATTGTGTCTTTCCTTTGTCAGTTTTGTTTGTAAAAGGTTGTTGAATTTGAGGAAGATGAATACACTTAAGAAAAACTGTTGAAAGACAAGCATTATAATTTAGTTCTATTTTTTTTTTTTTAGGAATTTTAATACTTACAGTCAGTAAAAATATAATGAATGTTAATAAACTTCCATATACTTTAGAACAGGGGTCCCCAAACCCCGGGCCGCAGACAGGTACCCGTCCGTACCCTATTAGGAACCAGGCCACACAGCAGCCAGCAACCATTACTGCCTGAGCTCCGCCTCCTGTCAGATCAGTGGCTGCATTAGATTGTCATAGGACAGTGAACCCTATTGTGAACTGCGGATGCCTGGAATTTAGGTTGTGGCTTCTTACCAGAATTAATACCTTATGATCTGAGGTATTCTAGAACAGTTTCATCCGGAAACCATCACCCCTCCCCATCCCCATCCATGGAAAAATTGTCTTCCACAAAACAGGTCCCGGGTGCCAAAAACGCTGGGGACTGCAGCTTTAGAAAGTTTAATCCATATCCACCCTTCCCCACTTAAATTTTAATCAATTTAACCGTCATCTCTTTTATGAACGCAGAAAGTTAGTCTCTTGTCCTCTTATTATTGATTTGTGAAATAAAGTGCTAGTTTTCTTCCATGAATAATGATAGAATATTCTAATTAAAGGAGTGCTTATTTAGTCTACCACTATACTTAAAAGGTACTTACTTATTCTACCACCTTATTTAAAGGATGAAGGAAAAGGCCCAAATTTGTTTAAGGTCACAACCTGTTAATGGGCAGGTTTAGACCTTACGTCTAAGATAGACATAAGATAGATGATAAGCTCAAGGTATTTTCTAATCATTTAGAGTGTGTTGCAGAGAACAAAGATAGGTTAGAAAGATAACAATATAACCAACTATTTGCTTTTCATGTTTAGTTTGAGATAAAGGAAATCATTCTCTTGGACATACTTTCTCATCTTTATCTCTCATTTAAAACTAGTTAACAACCCGTTGGCCACCAGGATCTAAGGTGACAATGAGGAAATGAGTTCATGATCTGGCTTAAATTTTTAATCACTGTCAAAAATACTAGCAATACACATACTAAAAACAAAAGCAAAAAAACCATTAATTTATTTTACCCACTTCAATTCCATCCACCATCTACTTTATAGGCCCCATTATTTAAAATGAAATACATAAGCACGTGAATCTTCAGGGGATGAGTAATTTCATGTTCCAGCGGAACAATAAAATTCTCATAATTGGCCAGGCATGGTGGCTCAGGCCTGTAATCCCAGCACTTTGGGAGGCCGAGGCGGGTGGATCACGAGGTCAAGATCTTGATCGAGACCATCCTGGCCAACATGGTGAAACCTTGCCTCTACTAACAATACAAAAATTAGCTGGGTGTGGTGGCGCGTGCCTGTAGTTCCAGCTACTCGGGAGGCTGAGGCAGAAGAATTGCTTGAACCCGGGAAGTGGAGGTTGCAGTGAGCCGAGATCATGCCACTGCCCTCTAGCCTGGCGACAGAGCGACACTCCGGATTAAAAAACAAAACAAAACAAGGTGACTTTGAAATTTGTGTATAAATACTGATATTATACATTTTTCACTTTGCTTTTCACTTTTATGCCTCCAGGTTTACTACAGCTAAGAAGAAAAAATATATACACATGAGTGTGTGTATACACACACACACGCATATAACTTTTTAAAATTCAGAAGCTGAAAGGTCCAGAAAGATAGTAAGAAACTAACGTAGAACAGCCACAGGTGATTAATAACACGTTTCATGAAAGGCACATGGAAATAAATGGCAACAAAAGCTATTTTCATGGTAATCTCACATCCCACGAATACTGAAATGAGAATCGTTGCGGCAATGGACTGTGATTCACGTGGAACACGTTCTCGTTCCCTAAGGAGATAGATGCTTTTCACCTAAAAGCAGCGCTCACGGCGAAGAGGCTTAAGGCCATAAAACCGAAGGACAGCAGGAGGAAGAGAAGCCAGGTGTCTCCACTCCAGTTGCCCTGCCTCAGACTCCTAAGCTTCGCATGTGAGGATCGTCTTGTAGGCACTGACTGGAGATGGAATCCTAAAACACAGGCGAAGCGGAAATCTTCCTTCAGGGAGAGTCGACTGAGGAAGCCAACGGCTAACACTGGGCGGGACAGGATACCTCCCTCTTCGCCCACGGCGGGCTCTCTATCATAGTAGCCGCCGTTCTGCCACTCACGCAGCTTTTTAAGGCACCTCTAGGTTCGCCAGCGCCTTCAGTGGGGCGGCCGGCCGCTCCCGAGGGCTGCAAGACGCGGCCCGGCGTGCTGAGCCAGTGTCGCTCCTCCCGCGGTCCCCTCAAAAGGCCGGCCCGCCGGCTACAGTCTGCCCAAGGCGCGGACAACCGACGAGGTGTCAGGCTCGGCAGGGGATTGCTTCTGTCTGGGGCCCGGCCGAGGTTGCGTTCGTGCCTCGCGCGCACACGCTCCGCGTTCACTCAGCCAATCCCGCGCTACTCGCGCGCCCAGGAGCGATCCGCGGTCCTACTCAGGCTGGGCCCGCTCCTTCCCGCTCCCAATACTCAGCACCCGAGCTCTCACTCCTCCCCTCACTCTCCACGAGTTCCACGCCTCAGGGTGTAGCTCCGCCCCTGTCCCCGAGTCCGCCCCCGCAACCTCCAGAGCGTGTGCTCTCCTTTCCTCTCAGTCCTGCCATCTAGCTGCCTTGGGTCTCGCGCTCCGCAGAGCGGCCCGAGCCTCTCCAGCCTCGTTCCGCCGCCTCCGCGCGCTCTCCCCGTGCAGCCACCGACCCCTCCAGCTCGCCTCCTTCCTGCCGGACTTGGGGTCGCGCGCCCTGACTCCGCCCCCTCCCGTGGACCCGCGCACTCCCGGCGCGGCCTCTCCCCCACGCAGGCCACCGAGCACTGTACGGCCTCCCACTCCTTCCCCGCTCTCCTCGCGCTTCCCTGGCTCCCTAGCTCTCGCGCTTTCCGCGGCGAGCGCGCTCCCGGCCCGCGCGCTCCGGGCTCCAATTTCTCCCGGCTCCTGTCAGTGCGGTGACTGCGCTGGGAAACATGGCGACCGAGGGAATGATCCTTACTAACCACGACCATCAAATCCGTGTCGGAGTCCTTACAGGTAACCGGGGGAGGAGGTGCGGGACCTATGAGGCTGCAGTTCCTGACTTGCCTTAGGCTTTTCGCCTGTGGTGGCCCTTCTCTGCGGCCTCGGGAGGAGGGAAGGCTGAAGAGGGGAACCGCGGGGGTGCATTTTACAACCGCTGAGAACCGCCAGAGATTGGGGGTGTTCCCGCGGGTCCCTTTCCCCAGCCCGCCGGAGCCGTGGAAGACCCCGTGGGATGTCAGGCCCCAGCGCCTTCGGAGACAAAGTCCTGGGCCCCCGGGGACCGAGGGGCCGGTGCGGAGGGCGCTGCGGGATCCGCGCTGTCGGTGCAGGCGGCGGGATCCCGGCACCGCAGTCTGAAGCATGCCGCTCTCGGCTGGCCCGGACGCATCCTCCGTTAGTGCTCTTCTGAGAGAGGGGGGAATCCCATCTCCACCCCCTTCCTCCCCTTCCCTTCCCCCCACCCGGGCGGCCCCACGCCAGTAGCTATGCTTGCCCGGACGCGACTCAGGTGTTAATCAGATGAAACTGCTTCTGCTCGGGTTGTCCCTCGCGGGCCGGGCATCCCCTCAGCCATCCATGGGGCACCCTTCGCCTCCTTCGGGGGATGGGGGATCGGCTTGATCCGGACCTCAGAAAGTGTCTGCCTTCTGCCTTTCCGAGCAAAGGGCCCTCTGCCTCGTCGTTTCCTTAGCGAGGACGGGCTGCAGCCTGCGGCCGGGGGATCCAGCTCTTTTTACTTGAGAGGGCAGGATTCCCCTACTCGGGCTCCTCTCCCCCTCCTTTCTGGGAACCCCCACCCCGGTGGAGCGTCCCGAGGCTGGTGAGGAGCGCACTTTTCCCGGGTCGCGTTTCCCTCCCTCGCGAAAGCCGTGTGTGCTCTGCATGTCTGATTTCGTTGCGCTGAATGTGGTTAATATCCGTCACTTCGGCGATCGGCAGTTGCTGCAGGGCATGACTTCCAAGATGAACGCCAAGCCGATTTGTAGGGGTTTCTGCTGTGGTTCTGTAGTTGGCAAGGTTTATGTGTAATTGAGTGGCGAGGCGGGGGTTAAAGAACTATATTTGGAATCTGAGGGCTTAGTTTGGAGTGAAGGAAGCCCAAGACTCAGTGATGTGATTTCGGAAAAAGAAGCAATGTGGACGGGAATCCTAGTGTTTCCCTTACTTCTTTTAAAAAAATTTTTTTTAACTGCCAAATTCTGACAGGTCGAGACGGTGCTCGAGAAGGGACTAAATTGAATAAGACTTGCTTTTATTATTAGGTAGAAAAAAAAGGTCTGAGGCTGCCGGCAGATACTGAGTGCAAAGCTTAATTTAGTTGCTGAATTTTATGAAAAGGTGATATCCAAAGCCTCCTTTTCTCTCTTTTAAGTAAAGGATTGCCTTTCCCTGGTATTGTTTCCGTATATCGATGGTGATTAATTGAATTTTCCTAATCAAAAGATCCTTTGGTAGTGAAACTAGTCTAAACCAATTGCAGAAAAGGGAACCCCCAAATCAGAAAGGTACGCTGTTCTCTTCTTTTGACCCTGAAACTGTTTGGTTATGTGAAGATTCAGTTGTATTTCAGAATTCCTGGAACTGACATTGCCAATTTTTGAATAATCTGATGATGGGATGTGAAAGTGTATATCCTTTATCTACCCTCAACTTGCACTTTAAATTCTAGCCATTCTTTAACAATTAATAGAGTAGTGAGAAACCAAAATATGTCAGTTGTCTGTGGAAATAAAAAAGGCCGTAGATGTTTAAAAGTTAAACTGTAGAAATATTTTTAAAATGAACATTTCTGCTTAAGCTTTCCATTAAATAATAGTTTCATTTAACGAATCATCTTAGCTTTGTGAAGTGACACAGCAGGTAGGTGTTGTACAGACTGCTTTGAAAGATGCAGACCTTATCTCGTGTCCCTACAGTCTGATATGGATAACATTGATAGGCAAACAACTCAAGAAACAGTGCATGTAATTATTGTGCAAAACTTTTCTAAATACATTTCCTATGAGTTTGGGGTTAACTGCAAAAGAAATTCCATATTCAGATGGATTAGGAGCAAATATGACTACCTGAAGGGAGAATTTAATACATTTGCTAGAGTCAAGAAGAAACTGGCAATTTTAAGGGGAGTTGAAAGTCAGCTGCCACTTTATAAATAAATATGTAGTTGATGGTGAGGCTCCTGAGCAGAATAAAAATGTAATATAAAGGCCTTGGAAAGCTCAAGTGGAATAGGTAGGTGGCATAGGTAAAATGTCAGAGAGAAGATAACATTAACATTGACAGTGGAATTAAAGACAATCAGGGGAAGCTATTATGAGAATGAGGTACAGTAGTCTAGGGCCAGGGACAAGGATGTAGCTGAAGGAATGAAAAGACAGCTACAGATTTGGAAAAAGTGGTAATAGAGGAAAGTAGGTTTGGATGATAACATGTATATTTGAAGTCAGAAATAACTTAGGCTTTTTCTTGACAAGTTATTGATACAGATATTGTCTGCTGTGATGGAGAGGAAAGAAAACTGATTTTTCTCAAGTCTGTAACTAGTGGGTTTCATTATCAACAGCTTAATTTCTGTGGTCTTGCCTGATATATGATCTTGAGGAAAGAACTTACAAAAATGAAGCTGTGCTATGCAAATTTGTGTATTCTAGAACTTCAGGTTTTGCAGTTTACTATGTAGAATTATTCTTTACTGAACTCAAGTATTGTGATTTCATACTTAAGAAAGTTGAGTTGAACTGTAGTTTTTGTAAATTATAATTTGTGGCTCTCTTAAAAGGTGGAGGGCTTCTTTTAGAAAATCTTCTTGGCATGCTTCATAATACTAATTTTAAGTATTTTATCTACATCTGTTTTACAAATATAGTGGAAAGTGTGATCTACCCACACACACATTTTACAATATGTTACTTAGTATTTTGTGAAATCATATTGTCATTTCTAAAGTTTTTAATTGATTTCTTTGTGACATTTTTTATTACCTGTTGAAAGATACTTGTTCTCTGAAACTTTTCATCCATTAGATGTTTTTGTTATCTTCATTTCAGTTATGAATTTGGCAAATTTAATACATAGTCTGTTGAGACTTCTCATCAAATAAATTAATTGTATTAGGTTTATGAAAGAATAATGGTAGAAAGGGAAATATTTAGCAGAAGCATTTTTTGCTTCATTATTTTGAATTATTAAGCACTTGAAAATGAGATTATGATAATTAATGTAACGTGGATATTCTAGTTATACTAATTTTTTTAAATCAGGAAAATAAGAATATATATGTATGTAAAATAGGCTGTATGTGGAAACATTTTATGTTGAATGTTACTGTCCATCTTTAAGAACAATATCTTTGTTCGAAACTGTCTTATGTTGACTTGACAGAAATGAAAGTCACATGGTGTTTGGTGACCTAAGGTCTAGTTTGAAATATTTCTGTGTCTAATGTTCTCTATTTCTATTACTATTTATAGAAGAGACTAAAGGTAATGTGGTAATGAGTAACATGAAGCAAACAAACAAGTATCTACTACTACAAAACTAGAAACAAGATGTGGTGCAGATGTAGAATTTTTTTCTAACAGCTTTAGTAGTAATTATACTTAAAGTCAGTCTTACTAGTTACACAGCAGACTCACTATATCTAGAATGTGTCACTCTTCATATACTTTTTTTCTATTTTGAAAGAAGCTGTTTATCAAAGCAGCATATTAGTTTTACCACTGTGAAAGCTCTACAGAAAGGTTAACAGGAAAATAATGACTACATGTATGTATATAATGTAGAATCATATAGATTATCCCATTGGCTACTTAATATCGTATTAGTTCGCTACAGCTAATGTTTGATACCGAGGCACTTAGCCAAAGATGATAATCTATTACCTAAATTGTCACTAATAGTGGCATGAATGAGAAAAAGGTACAAATTTTTAGGAAAGAGCATTTTAAAAAATCATATTTTTGCTGTAGTAATATACATTTTAATTGCACTAACTTGTTGATTTGAACTCAGTAAGAGATATTGGAACAAATAGACTAGGTACTAGAGATTAGTTAAAAGACTAATTGTAAATTAGAACATCAAAATATTACAGTAACATGTAGGGAGTATTTCAGTTGTTCATAAATGAAGTCATTCACAATATTCAGAAAACAAGTTTAAGCCAAGCAGATGCTACCCTTATAACTCTGCAATTGTTTAAGCATTTACATTTTTACATTCTTGAAACCTGTTCTGGTATATTATGTGTCAGTATTATTTTCTGAAAAGTCCATTTATTGATAAGGATATATACATATATCTGTTTTGAGAATAGATGTCATTAAGTAGGCAAATTACTATTAAAGCCTACTAAGTGGAATTGTGTGTTCTGGCAAACTTAGATGTTTTTTTCAATATGTGTTTTTAATATTGAGCTATATGACTTGAAAGGAATCCTATTTCTTGAACTAGATTGTTATTTTGTGAATTTTTTGTTGGAAGCAATGTATTAGAGAATTAAATGTTTAATCAAAGTAGGAAAATGTTAAATTAATTTCTAATGCATGTACTTAGTCAAAGACTTGAAAAAGTATTAGTTGCTACACAAGAAGAATTTTAGTTATATTAAAAACACGTGATGATTTGACTTCAAAGTGAATGTACTTAATACTATCATCACTGACCAAAGACTTGAAAAAGTCTTAGTTGCTATACAATTAGAGTTTTAAATATATTAAAAACACATACGACTATTTGACTTCAAACAGGCGTTTGGTGGAAAATCAATAGTATGTTTTTAGGGAGGAAGTGATGAATAAAAGTCTATTTTTACTCTTACTGGTGATAGATTCCTGGCTAAGTTGAACAGAGTGTTTTTAAAAACAATCAGTAAAATGATAAAATCTATTACTCTGTTTCTGTAAATAGGATTGAAGAATAATGAAGCATATTTGGAATTTGAAATGTATTAAAAAAAAAAAAAAAACCTGAAAAAGAAAGTAGTGAAACCACAAAGGATTTCTTCCTTCACATCTGGGCAGAGAAGATAAATACCAAGGAAGAAGAAAAGATTGTTTAACCTACTTAAAAGTAATTGGGACTGTAGTTAATATGAATGGCATGTAATCTTACTTTCATTAAAATTTTTTTTTGAGTGAACTCTCAAAAAGGAAATGTTTAATGAAGTATTGCTAAGTAGAAGTTCTATCCAGGTTCTTTAATGAATTTATAAACTAAATGGTATTTAATCAATTAATTTTAACTAAGTAGAACTTCTTGAAAATTTTGTGTTTAAACACACCCAACAATTTTAACAGTAGCTTTGTCAGTATTTATACATTTTGAAAGAGTGTAATTAGGTTTAAAAAGAATTCTTAATTTAGAAAATAAAGCAGCAAGGAAATGAAATATGATGAAGGAATTGTCACCATAATTGGGGCATTCTTCTCAAACTGAAGTACATGACATTGTGTCAAGGGATACTATAAGGCTTAGAATCGAAGCCATGGAAACAAACATAATTTTTTAAGTACCAATTTTACTTGATGGTATTAATTTAAATAACTTTAATGAGAAGATAATCATGAGTAAATTAGGCACAAAGTATAGAATTTACGTGAGGCTTTAAGATGAAATTAGAAACTTCAAAGAAATTTCAAGCGAACCCATTATATTTCAAGTGAGCTCCAGATCTCATCATTCTTCTGTATTATTGGCACTTCGTGGCAAAAAATTTAAGGAGCACTGGATCATAGAAAGAACACTGTAAGAACTATGTTCTCATACTATTTTGGCTAGTAAAGTTTTGTAACCTTCAGTGTATTATGTAACCCTCTCTCAACTTTTCTTACCACTAAAATGAAGAAATTGGTTTCTAAGATCACTTCAAGACTCTCATGGCAATATATGTTTCTATTTTTTAGCATTCTGGCCAGCAGGAAGGAGAAATATGGGATATTAGACCTAGTTAATTTTTTTCTGTCTTTGTAATGGGAACGATTATAGGGGAGGGTACGTTATACG